CCCAGATCCTCCCATGTTATCTCCCGCAACGGTAACGGCAATGCGGGCAACAATAACACCAGTTGCAGGCGCGCTGCAGTCCAGTCATCCTCCAGTTCCGGGACGGCCCCCTTGTTATACCTCCGAGAGATCTTTTTGAAACGAAGAAGAGCATCCCGAACATTGCTAGCAATGGACGTCTCTGCATCTGCTAAGATGAAACTCTCGGATATTGCGGTTGCACGAGAAGAGGCTGTCGCAAACTTGGAGAGGTTCAGTTGAGATATTTTTTTAATTTATAACCAAGAAATACCCACCTGACCCTCTAACTTGGCGCGTTTCCTTGGCCAAGCACTTTCGTCATCGTCGTCATCCTCGCGCTTCCTGGCTTTCCCTTTGGTGGGCTGCTCTCTGGGTCCCGTTTTGGGGAGTGGTCTCTCGTTGGCTGCGGGCTGTGGAGGAGAATCTGTGCGGGGATTCCCAGTGTCGGTATGGTTGACAAAAGGTGTACCGGTCGGCGGGGGCGAAGGACTTTTGGTAATGGATGTCCGTTTTGACTCTGCGCATCCTGCGTCCATTGCGAGCGAGGATGGATACGGTCCCACCTGATCGTTGACGGGGGGTGCCTCGACATCGACATGATTATTGTCCTCTTCCTCCTCGTGTAACGTTATTCCTTGTGGAATGTTGCCTTTGAATACTATTCCAAGGAAACGCTTCTCTTTGACGACAGGCTGCGGAGTGACGTTCGTGAGCCGCGCTGCGGTATCAGCGAGGTTGACTGGAGATATTGGTGCGCCAGTTGGCGCTGGTGCAGGACTGCCTGTTCCGGATGTCTGTGGCACATCCACGCATGGTGCATCCATTAAAATATTGGATGCAGACCGACCCACCTGATCGTCTGACTTGCTGCGCTTTTTTGGTGAAGCACCCTCAACATCGGCGTCATCTTCATCATCGTCGCGCTTTCGGGTCCTATCTTTGAATTCCAAGGACAAAGAGGGTCTCTCGCCGATCGCAGGTTGTGGAAGGCTATGCGCGGTAGGATTCGAAGTGCTGGCGAGCTTGACTGGAAGGGTGGATTTGCCAGTCGGTGTAAACGTAAAGCTGCTCGTCTCCGATGCTTTGAGATGTGTGTTCACCCATGGTGTGTCCATTGACTTAGATGATGAAACCACTTGATCGTCTCGTTCGCTGCGTGACGCTACCCGGAGATCAATATACGAGCTGTCATCATCCTCGCGTATGGTCAATCCTTGTGGGACATTATCTTTAAATATTATTCCCAGGAAGCGCTTTTCTTTGGGTGCAGACGGTGATGGTGCATTTGTGGGGGGCTCTCGCATGTCTCCGAGGTAGGGTTGGATTGCTGCGGCAGTTGGCGAATGGGTGGGATATTGTGTATCAGATGACCGTTTGGGAAGCGGTGCCACGCATTCTGTATCTATTGGAATGTTAGACGTAGATCCCACTGGTTGGGGAGAGGCAGTGGAGTCGGAAGGTAAATGGGAGTGGGGACCCATAGCTGAAGAAGGCGAATCAGAAGCGACAGCTTTCTCTTTTCCTTTTCCTTTGATTTTTGAATTTCCAGGAGATTTTTCTTCGAAAAAATCAATCGCCTTTCCCTTGCCTTTATCTAATTTCACTGCAGGAGGAGACGACGTAGCGCCTGACTCATTTGTGACTTTTATAGACTATATCGGTTCTGATTAGCGCGACAGTAGTTGTATCACTGTTGGATGGACGTACTGTCTCTGAGATGCCTGCGGTATTCGCCTCGGTATCCATGGGTAAACTCGAATCGTAGATTGCCTTTCCTTTGCCTTTATCGATCTTCTGTTCAGAAGAGGATTCCTGCTTAAAATCATGGTCACCGCTTAGTAGTGAGGTTTATAACATATCCCATACCTCCTCCGAGTCCACGAGATCACCCATTGGGTTAGGTATGGGGATTTTTTTGAAATACGTAATATTTCCCTCCTTGATGACTTCATATCGATGGGCCTGCCACTTTTCGCAGTCCTCAACCCATGCATCCAGGTCCTCTTTAGGAAATGGCGCGTCCTTCAAGACATGTAAGATGACTTCATGTGTACTGTAGAAGGGAAGAAACTGACCTTGAAGTTTCTCCTTGGTCGCCAGTCAGGGCGCTGACTGTTTGCACGCTGGAACTCGATGTCTCGCGAGTTTTGGTAATTGAGATAAAACTTGACTTTACGCATTTCCCATTCAAGCTCAAGTGGCGAACAAGCCCTTACGCGTGCCTTAATAGCCTGCGCATCAGGGCTTAAAACCTTGCTCATTCCAAAGTCTATAAGGGTAACTCTGCAGAGCAGACGATCAGAATGCAATGACAACAGCAGTGGATTCTGGCGCATACCTCCCGTCAGCACCAATTAGCATATGGCGTAGTTCTGCGTCACCGTGAAGGACCTTTCTCGCGTGTAACTTCTCATAAGCAGCGATGATAGCTTCTTTCTGTTCTTCTGCCAGGAAGATGTCGGCTTCCCGCCACCATTCGGCGTGAGGAGGCTCTTGATTAAGCCCGAAACATCCGCCAAGGCAATGAGTGACATTGATTATGAATGGAACGCAGTCGCCTTGTAGGGGACGGAGATACTTCGATGCGGCATTGAGGTATATACTCGAGAAAAGTGGGTTTAACGAATCCCAAATGCTTGTCCTTCATCCTTTAGATTGCATGGTAAAACGTTTCGATGGAAACTTTACGTACAATTTTGAAATATATGTGATCTCCTTCCCTTCGATGAAGCCCTTTTTCATAATTACGTGCCCCTCTAACCCACCTATAACAGTCCTCAGACACAATAAACCATTGAATAAACCAGTACATACGACCCAGAGTAATCCCATCATCTCCGCTGATGATGTCTTGACCGTCCGCCCATTCCCATCTACCGTGGGGCCTGTAGAGTGGCACCGATTTGGACCTTTTTTCAACGTTAGTTAGTGTGAATAGCTTTGGTCCCTCGGAGCCCCCTCCAGTATTAGTTTGAGGACTTGAACGCAACGGTGATTCCATGTAGCAGTTAGTTGTGTGACGGCGGTAGGACGAGAGAATAGTATGGTTGTGATTGACTGTATGTTGTAGTATCGTAGAACTGTCGTTACAAGCCTTTGTTCTAGAGACTTCAGCTGAGGAGGTAGTGGTTTAAGGATGAGAGTTTAAGGCGACACACAAAGTTTTTATATTAATGGGCAAATACAAGGTGGCAACTTTATGGAGAAGCGCGCCCTTTGTCTGCCCTAAATAGGAAGGCAACCTGCGCCCCAACCGGCAATATGGCGGCTGACCGAACTTTGATGGAGACTTGGAACAAAGGGAAGTGGCTTTTTGTTGAATCGCTGGTCGTCTAGACTACTCACAACAACAATGGCACCTAATTTCCACTAGAATAAGGAGTTATTAAGCAGTAACACTGGTGAGACATTCTCAAAACGAAAGTACAAGCCGAAAAGAGTTTTGAAGAGGATGCTTTGAAGTCTCAGAAGTAATATTTGGTTAGTATTTCGTGTGATAGTGTGATAAAATAATATTAAGGGAATTCCAATACCAAGGATAAAAAAATGAAGATAACAAGTGATTGCGATGTAACTATTTGCTGAAGGATTGATGTGAACCAACCTATCCCTGCTATGATTCGATGCAGTTCAAGACTTAATGGGTTAAACCCAAGCGTAAGTACATTCCAACCTGTCGAACTATGGACTCCAATGTTATTGTTTCGGAGGCCGTCATGCGTCTTACTAATATGATGTAATATTGTCCTGATGCGACTCTCAGGCCCGTTAAGATGATTTTAGGTCTTCGTCTTAAAATCAAAATCAATGAGAAAATTCTGAAGGTATTTCTGGAAGAAAAGAAAGGAAGAAATGTCCCTCGGAAAAAATGAAGGGAGCACCATGTAAATATGTATTAAAAATAGTATGAGTTGGCTTATTGTAATACACAATCAGTGGGTAATAGACTTGTAATAATGGTACTTGTTTGTTAATCAATGTGTCAGTTAGTGAATCACCTTCTGACATGATAGGTAGGATGTTAGTTTAGGTGTACACTGGTTCTGGCATGCATTAACCTCAGAAAACATGGTCCACAAATAGCATCCTCCTATGGAAAAGTGAAGAAATAGGTGAGCTGCCCCTAGGAAAAAGGTGGTTTCATCACCAATTCCAACAATATGTATACGGAATAAGAAGAAGATTAGTACGGGTCATCTTACAGTGATGTGGAGCTTCAGCTATGGAGAACACTTCTGGATAGACCACGACCTTTATTGTGGAAGATAATCTCTCCCGTACTAATATTCTTATTTTCAGACACATATATTATTATACTGAAACACCTACGGGCCTTAACAGATTTTATTGGACAACGACTATAAAATAAAGAAATTCAGTTATGCGAAGAATAGCAATGTAATCCTGGTGCCCCCAGTCTTACGCACGGACCCTTTAGTTTTACGTGATTACATAATCACCATGTTGCACGGTATAAGTAGCCGGGAAGTTTTCAGGACCTTAGATCTTACCGTACGCTGCACTTGCTTGTATCTTGTTCTGCTCTGGACAATACACCGTGGTCCTGTCAACTTGTGTGACTGCCAGTGATCCCAATTGACGACGGGATTACAAGCAAACTGATATTGCTGTCTACCAATAAAACACAAAGACTAATGGATAATGTGTGTCAATAACTAGAAGTAATACTAAACTGGCCTACACGTCAGTTATGTGGGGGATGGCCCACTGAAGTGTAACTACCACTACGTTATTAGGTATATAACTCGGAGAGTAGTGTCCGAACGCGGAAGGGAACTAAATTTCTATAATATCGGATTGACTCTTAGCAACTAAAACGATCGAAATAATGGTATCACGAAGATTGTTCAGATTGTAGATTTCCAACAGGCCTTGCAGTAGTATATAAAGCTGTAATAAGTTTCTTACTAAGGACCTAACAATCAAGTTGAGTTTCAATAGTTTCAGGGTTCCAACATGCCTTGTTAGCTCAATGGTAGAGTGTAAGGCTCTTACAGTCCCTCTGACCGGGTAAGAGTCTTAAGGCGCGGGTTCGATTCCCGTATGAGGCAGTATTTTTCTTTTATTAAATCACGGGTCCTTCCTACCAAGAGTTCTTATTGAACCAGGTATATCTCTTTGTCCGAGTCCATGAAATATTTTTAAGCATTATAGAACTAGCCATTAAGTACCAAACATGAATATGCAGAACTATATCCAAGATATATTGAATTAGCCTTATCAATTTATCCTTTTGTCACTGTAAATACTAGTATAACAAAGGTGCAGTATGACATATTTCTGGAATTTGGGGAAAAATGCAGACTCAAATGCAGAACGTTACAACGGTAGGGTCGTGGTCCAGTATGTGTTACGATGTGGATGATATAGACTACGGCGCCTTGTTAGCTCAGTTGGTAGAGCATAAGGATCTTACAGTCTCTCTGACCGGGTAAGAGTCTTGAGGTGCGGGTTCGATTCCTGCGCAAGGCAATACTTTTTATTTTGTTTATCACGGGTCCCTTCCCATAATTAAATTGTAACATAAGGTTTAAGGTTTAAAGGCCATCCATTGATTCGGACTGCGTGGCGTTCACCCAAAAGCCACTAGTTCACCAATAAGACAGTCTAGTGAGCCTTATCACTAAGTCTTCCGAGGGTTTTATTAATGCTATGTCACCTGGGGCGTCATCAAGGGAAGACAAGACTCCATTTCTTGTCGAGATGAGATGGACTTCTACCTCACCCGGACCCTCGCAAACATGCAGGGAGCTAGGGAACAAAGGAACATGAGCTTGCATGATGCTCGAAATCCAACATTTCTTGCCACAGGACTATATTCAAATTGGTAAGTCCGATTTGGGTGACATACACTTGGCTCCTTGTTCCAGCACGTGCTTTGGCTATAATAAGTCTTACTTACCGGCGTAAATGTCGACATTTTGTTCTGATCTGGGCAATATTAGATGGATAATTCCTATCGGTTGGTCATCTTTGTGGATACAGGCACGGTTGTAGCCTTGTTCTGCACCACCTCAGACACACTCCAAACTATTACAATTGTCCCCAATTTCAAGTATTTATACAACTTCTCAACCTCAAACATTCAATGATTCCTTTTTGTCTCATCAAATCCAAGTTCATCGTGACTCTTGCGAGGATCCTATCGGCGATTCTCTGCGTTCCACCAGCTGGTACTATATGTTCAAAACGGTTTTTCCTGGTTCCATTGAGTCCAAGATTCACAGCGTCATCGCCTCGCTGTTGTATTTCATTCTCACAGATATGGTTCCTTTGGTCCAGTACGTACATTCTCACCTCTCCCATTACCACCGCCACTCATACAGATTCCGTGACACAGCTTATTTTACCACGCATTTCCCCGTCTTTCCTTAAATCATGTCTTAATTTCTCCTCCTCCACACCATCGCAACATGTAGTTCAGTAAATATAACATATTCTCCGTCGTTCTCTCAGCGTACAAGCCGTTCTTCGGTTGGACTTCGGCGTGAGGCCAGCTAGTCACTTTATTTCCTTACCGATCATACCATCAGTGTGTGCAGTTTGATCTCACAACGTGTCAGTCGCAATGGCTCTTTCCTTTGCCTACTCTCATGTTACTCATGCTAGTTTATCATCTAGCCATGTTGCGGCATCTCGCAGAGCATTTCTTGTATCCCCCCATTGCGTTATACACGTTCGGTCCATCATCATAACCATGATCGCATCATCTATCCCCGCTTAGTAGCCTTTTCTACATCATCTATCCCTCATAACCATTCACATATCATCCCTTCACCTGCCTTCCTTCACCGCGTTGGAGGAGCCGGACCCAGAGTCAGAGAACCAACATGTAAATATGCTGCTCCGAATTTCGATGATGTCGAGGAGTGTTCATATTGTGATTGATGTTGCGAGTTGCCGTGAATGGTAATTCACAGGCCAGCCCAGTACTCGGATGTCAGGGATGAAGAAAAGCTGGCGGATATCAACGGCACTGCACAGGCTGTAGACGTTCAGCACAATGCAATATTAAATGTTGTCGTTATAGGTTTGTGCAGTGTCACGTATTACTTCTATCATATACTAAGATCATGTAACAGCACTGCATAGGACGCAGACGTTCAGCACAGTGCAAAATCAAGCGGCGTGGCTCTAGGCTCGTGTAGTCTCGGTTATACACGATCTTCCAGACGACAGCGAACATCAAAGCGTTTCCAGCCGCGCGGGGTGAGAGTGCAAGAATTGGATACGATCAAAAAGTGTATCGTCCTAGTATGGTGCTAGGTCCGTGTGGTTCTGCTATCCACTTCTTATGAACTTATACCATTTCCATAGACAATATTCCAATAACATACAATCACAAGGGCATTGGGCTTATGGGATTTTTTCTCCACGCATCATTCCTTCTGTGATGATTGCTCAAATAGGTGATCATCGCAGACATGCCTCCGATACCATCGGCGACACTCCCAAGTTCCCCCAATTTACCACAACTGGTCCCTTCAGATTGGTCTTTTGCGAGTGATGATGCTCCATTGGTTCACAAAGAGGGGAGAGATGATGAACGACAATCTACGGAAGGTGATGATTCGGTTTCTCTTCATGTCGACTCTCGAGAAATATTAACGTCTGCGTACTGAACAGAAGGATCAACTTCGACGTCTGCGCTGCAACGTTGACAATAATGAAACTTCGACAAGGCGAATTCTATTAATTCTATTGATATCCATCCACAAACAGTAATGGGATCGAATCACAATAGTCTGACAATGTGGAAACAAGCGCGGACCAGGCTCCAGAATCGGGGTGAAAACAATAATCAATTCTGTAAGTATCCTTTTCCATGGATTATTATTTCTCTTGTCACATCTTACAGTGCCCAAGGCTCTGTAGAGGCACAAACCATGGACTTGTTCAATAATGTGACCATCTCTGCAAGTGGACGTGTACTTAGTCGAGAAATATTAACATCTCTGTTCTGCACAGAAGAATAAACTTTGATGTCTGCGCTGCAATTCTGACAAGTCCTATATTCCAAGTGAGCAAAATCCATTTATTTTGATCCACAGAAACAGCAACATGATCAAGTAGAACATACGAAATAAGCGCTGACCCGGCTCTCCGGACTCCTCGCGAGTAAAGAGTATCGTGAGTGTCCTTTTCGTTTATATGGTTTAGTAAGCCATATTATACCATTTCACAGTGTTTGAGGATATGTGGAAGCCATGAACTTGCTCAATAATATGGCCAGCTCTGTAAGTGGACGCTATATTGTAACATGGCACTAATGCCCTCAAGTAGCAATTCGGATCCCAACAACCTCTCCTTAACGCTCAGTCTGTGTCTTCTATCAACTAGGATGAAGGCTCGTCAGATCAGACGCCCATTCCGAGTCCATGTTCGTTCAATTTCATTTATTAGGTAGTGTGGGACGTTCTTTCGTGCAGGCTTTAGGCTGATTGAAAAGTCGAAGATGAGGGACACGGGGACACAAGAATGGGTTATCAGCCAGTCTAGCGTTGCTTGTAAAATGGCATTTTTTGACACCATTCTCGAACTTTGTACATCCTTCTATATTGGTCGAAATGTGAGTTGTTGGTTGTTCAAACCACTGTCACTCGTGCTTATACTCAACCGTTGGCCACCTCTTCCAACCAAATTACTCCCCATCGCGTCCCGGGGTCAATGATTAATAGGCGTAGACTTGTCCCCTATTGGAGGGCTGGCCGTCAAAACTTATTAGCACAACTCTTAATCGGGCAATGTGTTCCATATACGTCGACTAAAGGGCGAAAGCAATCCATGCCCGTAGAACAAGTTGTGGACAGCGTAATGGTATTATTTTCAAACGGTTTGACAAAATGCACGATTAGACTTGTGTAGCATTCTTAGAACTGGGAGTATTTGGCGTGTCGGTTTTTGGTTGGTGCGGTACCCTTTACCGAGGTACGACCTATGGCTATTTATACTGATAGCAAGTACAAGTAATATTGCATGATTGCCTAAATGATTTAGACAACAGTAGCGCACCTAAGAAATATTCCGAGAGAAACGATGGGTATGAGCGGGTTTTCACAGTATCTCGAGGATACAATCATACACTGCGTCAATAGCGGATCTACATGGCCAGTGCTCACAAGGCTCGCTGCCCCGGGTCGCCTGGCACGCTACCCCACGCGGCCGGAAAAAAGAGGTATATATCTGGTTAGATAGGAGCTCTTGGTGGGAAAGAGCGCGTGATTTAACAAAATAAAAAACTATAGCCTCGCACGGGAATCGAACCCGCGGCCTCAATTCTCTTACCCGGTCAGAGGGACTGTAAGAGTCTTACGCTCTACCAACTGAGCTAACAAGGCAACATGATTGGTGTCATCCACATCGTAACACATACTAAACCACAACCCCACCGATGTAACGTTCTACATTTGAGTCTGTTATTTTTTCCCCACATTCCAGACGTTTGTCATACTGCACCTTACTTGTGTTGTACTAGCATTTATAGTGATAAAAGATAAATTCATAAGGCTAAGTCAATATATCTTATACGAACTTTGAATATCTATATAGTTCTGCATATGCAAGGTTGGTACTTAATGGCAAGTTCCATAATGGTTTGAAAATATTTCACGCACTTGGAAAAAGAGATATATATCTCGGTCAATAGGGACTGTTGGTAGGAAGGAACCGTAATTTAACAAAATAAAAGTATGGGGGAATCGAACCCGCAGCCTTAAGACTCTTACAGTCGCTCTAACTTTGAACGATTGCCCTTGAGTGACGTTGAATGAGAACTGTACATCGAAGAAACTGACAATAACAAGTGTTCTATCTACTACCCCTCGATTTTCTTCTAAAAGGCCAGCAACATTACATAAGTAAAAGTGCGTCGATCGATCGATCGATATGCATCCATCATGCGTTGATAATTGGCCTCTGGCTTCACATAGACTCAAGTGGTGGGAAACTCACTGAGGCTTTTGTGCCGACTGCAGGAATCGAAACTTTGTCAAATTTATATTCTTATTGTCGCCTTGCAGGAGGCAGGAAACTCTGGCTAATGATCCGATCTGAGTCGGCAGGCTGTAGTCCCTGAGTTCCCGCATTAGGTATAACTGTGTAACCTTTTGTTTCTTGCTTCCGTGCAGCTTTATATATCCTGTCCTCCTCGTTTTCAGTTTCTCTGTAACATCCCCTCCTCCTCCCGAAATGGTCACTCACACAGATATTCGTCAAGGTCGTGGACCTGGAACAATGGGTCGACCTGTTCAGGTTACTACAAATTCTTTCCCTGTAGAAAGAATGCCTGCTGACAGATTTCACCACTATGATGGTGCGTACAAATGACCTCAAAAATTGCTATGACCACTCTTTCGATGTATGCACATATTAGTTGGTGAGCGAGGCACTGTCTTCCTCGGGGTTTGAAAGAAATCTTTACGTCTTTTAGTACTCGACTGTAAGGTTGTAGTGTCAACCTCACTCAGTGAATA